GTATGTTTGGCCATAAAAAAAGATTCTTGAAGTTAAATTTTGGAAATTTATCGGAACTTGAAAAATTACAAAAAGTTATTTTTCAAAATTTTCACATGAAAGCACTCACAAAAATTCAAAAACAGCTACAAATTATATTCATGTCCGAACACAACTCTAATTTTCAAATACCATTTTCAACTTGAAATTTTTTCACCTTTTTCTAAAATTTCACAATTCTTATGTCCACCCANCTAAAATTTCACAATTCTTATGTCCACCCTCTAAATAAGTTTTAGGGGTTATATTGCGATTTAATTACTTTTTAAGGGAATTTATATTAGTTTTCAAATGTCATAATGTTGTTAGTTAAATGCTCTTTCAGTTATTCTGGATTCCACCTGTGGATTACAGGCAGTTATTTTAGCTTCAGTTTTTGAGCCACTTTAAATGCTTTTGAAAATAAGATACCACGTTTGAATGATCATTTTCAATGTCTCTTTGGACTGACTCAAGCTGTTACAAATCATAATACTTATGTTCAAATTGAATTTATAGAGCTTGTTAATGCTGCATTTTTACCTTTACTTTCAAGATTTCTTAAGTACACCATTAGATTGAAAAGCTAAGAACTGAAATTGTGTCATATTGGACCTGCAGTTTGCTCATAGGAAATGTATACAGAGATGGTGCAACAAAAAAGGTGACATAACCTGTGAAATCTGTAATAAGGTTGGTAAATTTTAAACACTTCCGCTGTAATTAGAAGATATTTATCTAGCCTCAAGTGAAAATTGAGATGTTATTTTTCTTCAATCAGGTCTTTTCACCAAACTATACCCTTCCACCTGCAAGAAGCAACCCTGATGTAATGGCAATTGATATCAGGTAAGGTTGTCAGTTGTATAATATTTGATGTGTTTTCTCAAATCTTGCAGTCACATTTCTGTGTAATACATGCTTCATTTAAAAAAAGTTCTTTTTTAGTTGTTGTGTGTATGGCACTTTTAGTGGTTCCGGCTCATTGAAACTTGCTGTATATGTTGGGACAAACTGTTTTGTAGGTTCATCTAGTTCCGCTATCTACACGAATTGGTTAGTGAATAAGGATTAGTTGTAACCTTGCTTAATCGGCCTCCTTAAAGGAAGATAAGATATAAGAATTTACTGTTCTGTTAAACAGAATATTAATATACCAGACTCCGAAGACTTCTGTTGGCTCACCTTAAATGGATGTTTTGGTGTCAGTTTTCTTGCCTACTTAATGTCTTTACACTGCTAGTTTCAGAAATAGGTCATCATTCTTATCTTTGTCTAGATCACTATCATAAATAGGACGAAGTAACTACTCCAAACAGCTTGAGTACTTAATAACTTGATGGAAATTTTAGTATGATAAATATCTGTTATTTTGAAGTAAACAATGAAACTTCATTCTTTACATAGAAACTTAGAATCTGTTATCTGAAATCTTACAAGTAGCTTTGGCATTGAATGAATTTGTTTTCTAGATCAGTAGCTAACAAGCTTTCAAGAGAAGCCTTTAGGGAAATCAATCCTTTTGAATAGTGATCTGGAATTTAGACTAAAGGTTGTTGCATAAGTTGTAATACCATCAATTTCAGAAATTCTTGTACATTACGGATAGATTTACAACAGAATCTATCATTGCCTCATGATCAAAATGGGCAAATGGAAAACAAATATTTTGTATGACTGGTCGAAAAGTGAAGCAGCAGTGTCGGATCCAACTACACTAATATATATAATCTCAAATATCAAGTTTCCAGCATCTATTCAAGTAGTCTGTTTCTGATTGATTTTTCAAGCTTTCTGACTTCTTTGTCCTACCTTTTGTTTAAATCAGGCAAGCATGGGGCCCCGGCATGGATATTAGAAACCCTCATTTTCTGGCTTTTGCCACAGCTGAGCGTCAATTCCTTGAATCGGAGTATGATGACTATGCCATTGCTAGCAGTGGGGGTTTAGCATTTTTCCGCTACGTTGCAATCATCGTAAGTAAAAACTGTGTAATGCTTCTACGATTTAGTGATTCTGTTCGTAAGCATAATATTATTGAAGGTGGTTTATCTTCTATTCATGCAGTTGATGCTACTCTTGCTGATTCGCCAAACATTGATGGTCACAAGGGACTTTTCAATGGTGCAGGACTCATCTACATTCTTCAATGTAAGTTAGAGTTGTAGCTCCGTATATCTTTAGTCAATAACTTGTGCTGGAGAGTGGCAATGTCATGCTGTTCCAAGACTCGGTCCTTTCATTAGGTTTGCATTACTGAATATGATTATAATGTATGCCGTCTCGTATCAAAAATTAATATGACATTTATATCATGTTTCTGTAGTTTAAGTTGTTCGTTGTGGATGCATGTTTATTATGGACAACTTCTGTTTTATTCTAATCATTCTATACATAGCGAGACTTGCACAGACACTCTAGTAAATCTGTCTGAAGCATGTTTTGTGAACTTCAGTTTCAGATTTCACTTCTACAGCTGGTGGCTTTCCTCCTCCCTTGTTATGTAATGGCTCGGACATGGTACATGATACAATGCCGAAGAAGGAGGCAGGTGTGTTAACCTAATCGGTTATCCTAATCATTCTCCTTCCTCTTGCCTTCTGCCCTTCAATTTTGTATACCTTTTTTAGTTCTTGGTTGGCTAAATACGATGAAACCATAGTCATAAAGAACTGAATCAAGTACAAAGAGAAGATGTGCATCTCTGATGAACCTGAGAACTACAATTGCTTAGCTCTGCCTTATTCGAAGTAGCTTATTGGAATAAAATCAGGAAATTGGTTCCTTGGTGTAACTATTGCTAATTTGCTACTATTGATTCATCTCTTCTTTTCTTTTCTTTTTTCAAAAACTTTTCAGGCAGTTAGTTTTTGTCTATTAGTTTCTGAAGCACTACAACTTCTACGCTCATACATCATTGCTAACTTAAAAGACTTCCATAGAGCCAATTTCATTTAATGACTCCTTTTCCTAACAATTTCTTGGATTCTCATATGATCACTATGGTAACCATGGCTTATCCTAATACAGTTAATTCTAGTGAAATGAACCGCTGGGATTTTGAAAGTGGATTTGCACTCAATTGCTCCAGACTAAATTATCCTTGACAGAGTTGGTAGTATATGCATCTTGAAATATAGTGTACTAAAAAAGACAACATTAATGCTTTTCTTTAAGTTGCTTAATTCTGCTCTGTAAGTTGCTGTCCATTGTTAGAATTGCTTGAATGTTGCTATGTAATACTTTCTATCCAACTCAAGTCCTTTTCTTGTAACGTGGTTGAGCTGAATATGAGAAATTTCATATAGTTTCATGCACATATACACAAATGATATTTTTAGTGAAGAAAGACATCTCGACTTCCTTTTCCGTTTTCTTGTTAGAGATCTTAGGCTTCTGATGGTTCTGAAACTGCAGACGGAAAGTTCTTTTGCTTTATCTTACATGTTAACGGTTGATTTCAGGGTTAAGAAGGAAGCCATGGTTGGTAGCATGACCTTTTGCAGCCTTTCTCGTCTCTAATGTTGGACAAATGCTGCTGCTGTACATCAACCTTCTCTTTCCCTAATATCTGTATTTATCTTCCAAGGTGCAAAAGTTAAGCTTAGCACTTTGGTGCTGAAAATCCCTTAGCTCTTCCCCAGTTTCTCCTACCCGTGAACTCGTAAGCAAATGTAAATATGTGAGGATTTGAGTTCACTAGCGGTTTCTATCACCTTGTTCTATAATATCAGATATTGGATGTCACTGAAACAATTGGCCATCCATATGAAATTTCTAATGGAACAGTAAGTTATCTGCATTTTGTTGAGGTAAAGCTTAATTTAAATCATCGCAACCTTGCGATACAGAGGTCAGTTTCATTGGCAGTTTTTGCCTAGTATTGCATGTTTTATCTGAAAATATCGGTCTATGGGGATGGCAACATACAGATCCAGGCAGTTTTGGACTGGGCCTCTTTTCTGTGCTTATAGTGGGAAGTTATATTTAATACTATTATATCTTCTCCTTTATCTTCTCTTCTGGCACTTCATTTTTTTGAAGATGCTGTAGAGGATTAAGTGAAAGCCAGAAAATTGGTTAAATCAAGATTCTTCTGCACTGAAAGATCTGATTAAACTTTATTTTGCATTGTTCTCAAGATTCTTATATCTATTTTTGAAACTTGTGGTAGTCTAGTTGAAAGGTTCACACATGATCAAGCAAGCCTGTCCTCTAACTCACTCTCTAGAAAATTACCCCTATCCAAAAGGGAATAGAGAGAAATGTTCAGAGGCTCAAAACTCGGAAAAGGCATTTTCTTAGATTTAGCGTTCGGACCAACATCTTTTTACCTAATTTTTTTGAGTCCTTTTGGTTAATTTATAGCTATGTCTCTTGATTGGAGTTCAGCTAATCATGGTGGCCGTAGTAATAACATAAGAGGAGTTCCAATTCATGGTGGTCACTGTGTACAGTATAATTTGTATGGCACTCTGTATGAAGTTTCAAGAAAGTATGTTCCTCCTATTATACCTTTCGGTCATGAAACTAATAGTGGGCAGTTAGAACTAATTACGTTATTTTGCGATCTTTGAAGACAGAATAAACTTACAATTCTCTATTCAAATCAGTCAAGTTGAACTGAAAAAGAGAAAAAAACGAACAATACAAAACTTAATTAGGCATGATATCGGTATAATATTTTAAGCAACTGAATATCCAAAATACCAAATCGAAATATTTGAAAAACATATTGAGTTGGCCGATGGGAAATGAGAAGTAAATACTTTTTAGAAACCAAAGTTTACATCAAATTAAACTGGGCAAAATAATCTCGTGGTCACTTAAACTTGTACCCGATTGTCATGTTGATAAATGAACTTTCAAAATTCTCATATGAACACTTCAACTTGAGCATAAGTGAACTAATAAACACCTCTAATCTATGACTCAATCTACGTGGCATCAGTTATTCCTAGTCAGCTATTGTGCGTGTAAGTCACGCCTGGCAGGAGCATGAATGTGATTTTTTCAAGATGAATTTCAGAAACCACTATTGTTTAGTGGCTATTAACTTACTATAGCTACCATATATATAATTACTTCCTATAGCTACTATTCAGTTGTTACGGTAGTGTATTCCCTGTATTCGCGCTGCTGTATTCATGAATACAATATCAAAAAGCGCCTAAAAAACAGGGTAGACCAGCTGTCCGCGCATGTATTCACATGTATTCGCGCCATGTATTCATGAATACAGCAGCAAAAAGCGCCTAAAATCAGGGCAGTCCAGCTGAACGCGCATGTATTCACATGTATTCGCACCATGTATTCGCACCATGTATTCGCACCATGTATTCATGAATATAATAATGACAATTACCTTAAAAATATGTATGTCCAGCTGTCAAAGAGAGAGGAAAAACATAAATAACGTATTTCATGCCTCAATAGTAGTATGTACCATAAATACTTATTTTGCTATAAAATATAAAAGGTAGCTAGAGAAAATAATATTTTAAAATGATTTTGATTTATAATAAATAAGGTGTATACCTTTGCTATGAGAGGTAAAATTTCCTTTGTTTCAATGGCCAGTTGTAATAAACCCAAGGGCCCATCTAGTTAGAGGGCTTCTTCTTCCTCCTATGGCCTACAACCTCCATTTTTGATTTATACAAGCTCTGAATTTCTTCTTCTCTTCAAATTTTTTACAGATTCAAGTCAAATTATTTCTTCTCTAGGTCAATATTTTATTCTTCAGGCCAAGAATTCAATGGAAAATCATGTAGTTTGTTGTTGTGGAGTTGACGTTGTTGTGTGCATAACCTGGAAGCCACCAATCCGGGGTAGAAGGTTCTTAGGATACTCAAATTATGGTACAACTAGTCGCTGTAATTTTTTCAGGTGGTTGACCCACCTTTTTCAGATCATTACAAACAAGTAATTTCGGGACTGCTATCAAGAATTCGCGTTAATGAGCAGCGAAGGAACATGGGAAAATAATATGTAATTGCGTTTGTTGTTGTTGCACTGCTCTTTGTAGTGTTATTCTTAGCTTAGGATCTTTTATTATATGTTTATTCTTAACAAACAATGACAATGTCAAGTGTATTAAAGTATTTTGCTGCAATAAAAAGTTATGCTTGGCATTAACATCTGAACATATATTATACAAGTTCAAAACAACCATTTTGATTGTCACTAGCAGGCCATCAAATCTGCATACTAGCAAAAACCAGTTTACTAGTGTGTTTAAAACCAAACCAAAAGAACATTTACTAAGTTATGAATATTTCAGACCAAATCTTCCACAAAATGACCTACAAATAAGTTTTGATACTAACAGACTTAAACTTTCACAAAAAGAAACTTTTCTTCAAATCATTATGGTTGAGACAGGTTGAAGTTGGACTGAGATTGGCTCAGGTTTCGTTAAGTTGAAGAAGGAGCTTCAAATTGGCTTAGGGTTGCCTGATTTATCTCCTTCTAGTCTGTTGTTGAAGCTGCCTTTGTGTTACTGCATTTGTTCCTTTCCACCTTAGTCGGGGTGCTCTATATACAAGATTAATATTGGTCTGGCTAGCATTAATTATTTGCCTAGGATCATGTGTGACTCTGTCCCTTAACCCAAACTACATTCAAATAGAAATATAATTTTATAACTTAGTATAGTAACTAGATACAACAATTGGACAGAATTTCACATACTTACCCTCTCTATGACTGTCCCTGATTCACCAAACAGTATTCCAAATCCAGTAGTCCAAGGCCTTCCATCTAAAGTTCTAAGAATTTGTTGAGGAGTCCTTGATCTTTCTTCTGTAATTCTAGATTGTTGTGTTCCTGATCCACCATCAGCGGTAGTTCTAAAATTTCTTTGTGCTGCAGATCTAGCTATTGCAATAGTAGTAGATTGTTGTACTGCAGATCCACCACCAGCAGTAGTACCAGAATGACCTCCTGATGCAGCTATTGTAGAATGGGCATTTGCAGTACTACTCCCAGTACCAGCCATTGAATTTTGCCCTTTCTAAAATATCCAGAATATAAAAATTCAGCAAAAGACTAAAAAACACTTAAAGCATAAGAAGTATTTGATTTTTACCAGGATTGCACAGCCTTTCTTATTATGCCCTACTGTTTTGCAATGAGAACAGGTCATTGGTGCCCCCTTCTTTGATCTCTTACCAAATTTCTTTGTAAGTTAATCTTGAGCATTCCTTCTATGTTTCTTAGGTCTACCAGACATCTTAGTAATTACAGGAGGCTCAAATTTGGGGGTTTTGAGTTGGAGGCCACGTCTCCATGTCGGTCATAGGTTGAATGTAACAATTCAATCCCTTGAGGTATGTTTCCTTCTTATACCAATGCTCAACATAGTCAGCATTGTCATACCTTTAAAAAAAATTGCACAAAGTGTATGGGAGCATGGTATGCCTTTCAGCTGTCACATTCTACATGTACACTCTTTCTTTACAAAATCAACTATGTGTTTGTAAATTCCATCTTGGATCTCAAATCCGGTGTCCCCATTTCATTTATATTCATGCTTGGTGGCTCTTACAGATTGCTCTTCAATGGACCCTATTACCATAGGAGATATATCAAAATTCTACTTTATAGCAAATTCTCTCATATTAGCATCCTCTCCATTACCTTCACTCTGATCTCTTCCAACATGATTATGATTGACTTGTGCCTAGAAGTAAGTATCCAGCTGTTGAACCAGACATGTTGTTCTCCACAACATCACACTTACTACAGTCTTTAAAAAAGACCCTGCACCATGACTATTTGGGATATCTAAGCAAGTCTTCTATTTTCTTATTGCCACCCAATTCTGCCAACTCATCTAGTTTAACCTTCAGAAATGCTTCAAATGAATCTCTTGCACAACCCAGGAATTTCTTCCTTCTTTTCTCACTAATCCAAGTTTTCTTCCAATTGCTCCATATGTGCCTTGCACACATTTTATGTTCAGTATTTGGCATCAATCTAGATATAGCTTGAACAAGTCCCTTGAACAATAAAAACACAATGTTAGAGTTCATCCAATGCAATCTTAAATATTAAAGTAAAAAATGAGGTTAAAACAATACACATACCTTCTACATATCAGACATAATTGTTAGTCCTTCACCTTCAGATTCTGTCAGTTTCAAGTCCTCCATTAGACACCTAAAAAATCAGGACCAACTGTTCTTGGTCTCTTTCTCAACCACTGCCCAAGCAATAAGGTATATCTGGTTATTACCATCCTTAGCAATGCATGACAATAGCTCACCTTTACACACTCCCTTTAGAAATGCACCATCAAATCCAATTACATTTCTACACCCTTCTAACCAACCTGTTTTCAAAGCATGTAAACAAATATATATTTCCACAAAGAAATCTTTACCAGGTTCTATTTCTTTTGAAGTCCTCACCACAACAGTGCTTCCCCGGGTTAGTAGTTCTTATCATGTCAGCATAATCATAAATCCTAGAAAACTCCATTTTTAATCACCTAAATACTTACCCGTTACCTTCTGTCTAGCCCTGGCATATTTTATTTTTCCTACATACACACCATACTTAATCCTTATCAACTCTTGCAACTTCTTGAGCTTTATGTCAGGCTGATTAATGATCTTATCTTTGTAATGTTTAACTATCTAAGCTGTGTTAGCAAGCTTGAACCTTGTGACTGGGAATCATGAATGTATAGGCTAGTATGTGTTAACGATGAAGTTCTGTGTGTGGCCCTGTAAACTGCCTAAAATATGCCATCTACATCTACTAGAGTTGAACCATGTTGCCCTGACCCTATTCCTC